TATAATGTCGTACTTCTGTGACATCTTTACGATCACAGCTTGAATCGTGATATTTCTATCATCGGCCAGGGAGATTTTAACATCTGTGGCCATGGTATCACACTTTGAAGTTTTATCATCTGCTAAAATTAGGCGAGAGGTTTGAGTTCGCCTTCCAATGCCTTAGATTAATGCAAAGCGGTCGGATATACATGAAATTTCCGAACCAGGGTCAATCAATGCAGGGACTTTATTTCCATTGCAATATACAGGTACTATTACACGCTCATCTAGGGAGTCGTTGTATCTTCTTTGTAACGATTGTACCTGGTAGTACTTTCATTCCAACTTAATGTCGGGCTTCTTGTCGCAATACTTGGCGTGATAGCCTTTGGTCTTCTCACACTTGTCACACTTAGTAAGAAAGTGTGTACAGGTGGGTGCATGTCTGCTATTCCAGTAACCGTTAGGGGTCAATTGGTACATGTCATACCCACACTGTGCGTCGGCACATTTTGTAATCTCCTTATATGGAGATTCCTTGTCCTTCGACTCCGCGCGTGCCCGTCTATTGGGTCGCGTTGATTGAGTGGAGTCGCGAGCACGTGTCTGGTTAGGACGCATCTAATGAAGCTTATCATCTGACGTCTGGCGTGAGAGGTGTCCTTGATCAGGGAGCTCGCGCGGTTTCTTATTTACCGCCTTTCCCTTCGAGGATACTCGGTGTGTGGTGGAAAGAGTGAATACAGTATCATAAAACTGTTCCCACGTAGTTCGGGATAGATAAAACTTTGTTTCGTGTTCCTTGTCTCGAGCCTCAGTTGCGTATTTACGTCGTAACTCGACTTTCACGGTCGTTGTTCCCTATGTTCTTACAAAAAGCATGCATAACCAGGAACTCGTACCATCGCTGCGCCATGTCCTTTGTTATATCTGGACGTTTAAAGTCAGCATCAAGTTTCAGAATGTAACTCTGAATAGGAGTATTCTTAACTGATTCAGTTAAGATTGAACTCAGGTCTGGACTGCGCATGACCTTGCTTAATAGGGACGTAACCAACCAACACACAGCTGGCCAGTCACGACAAGTGTCTAGCTCTTGCTGGTGTCGCTGGAGAATCAAGTAACTTGTTCCTGTAGGGTCGAACGACTTCATTAAAGCAGAAATCCATTGCTGGGGAGCGATATCATTCGTCTCCAGCATGACCGTAAACGCATTAAGCGCACGGGTTAGCGTGTCGAGGTCATCGTTGTTTGTAAACTCGACCTGCTTACTGTTGGCATCCCAGTTTGACTTAAGTCGACTGATCTGTCCCTTGTACTTCTGGTTATCCCGGTGGTCTTGTCCACTTTGGGCCTGAAGTAGCTGATCGATGCGTTTCTGCTTGATCGCGATCATATTAGCAAAATATGATACGTCATCGGTACGGTGCTCGTCATGGGCGATTTCCATCTTAATGGTGTAATCGTTGACCGATTTATTAAGTTCGGTCACCTCGTCAGAGTGAAAATCCTCTGCGGGTTGGTGTAAGGCGGTGCGATCGAAGCGATTAAATTCGACATCGTTAACACGTTTGCGGGAGTGTTTATTACCCCATGTAAAGTCCATGGTCAAGGCCTTTCGGTGCTCTGTTCGTTGGATAGTCGTTGGTATTGTGATCTTGGGTGATTCATGTGTCTGGATGACATACCCAGTCTTAACTGGTTTCCGACGATTGTCATCCCAGTTGGGTAAAGGTGGCCGAGTGTTTATACCTGCCTTTGGGTTTATAATACTCTCAAGGACAGGCGACTCATGTCCGGGTGTTAGAACAGGCGAAAAATTAGCCTGGAGTTCTGGTGGTAGTACCTCGTAAGGTATAGATACGCTGAGCACATCTGGTTCAACTGCCACAGGTGTAGCGCTCAGGTCTTTACGCTTTTCGGGCGTAATTGCCAGTCGACGTTCTGTCCACCTCTGTAGGGCTTCAGTAGTGCCCGGGGAAACATGCTCGCGTAAGTGCTGTGCATGTTTTCCTGATCCATACATTCGATCTACATGTTCAACAGTCATGCCTTTCACAAGGGCGGCTAACTGATTCTTAAGATCAGTGTTTTCAGTAGTTAACCTACTTATGCGCGTTGGTTCAGTGGTCTCGGACGTAGATTCGGGTTTGCCACTTGAGCTTGCCTCCTCTTCTGGTTCCGGTATAGGTACCTTCTGAGATTCGTCTTTGTCCCCTATAATTGGGTACTTTTCTTTCTGAGTTTCATCAGAAGAATTGGTCGGGGCGTCTTGAGACGTGTCCCTTGTCGCACTTCTTGGCTTCGTAAATGCAAGCTTCGAAGTTGAGACAATAGTTGACCCTCGGGCTCTATCTGTAGGAGTAGCCTTCTTAATCGGAATGGCTACATCCGTATCCGAGGCATTGTCCTGACTATTATTGTCGGAGACAAGTGCTTCGGCTACGGTGCGGTTAAACGCATCGGCCGCAGCGGCGGTTGCTTCTGCGGCAGCGCTAGCGGCCTCTCTCTCCATCTTTTTACGTTCGGCCTTACGTTTCTTTGCAGGCGTATTGTCTTTCTTTGTCATAATCTTAACTTATGACTTCAGTCTTATTCTTTTAAGGAATGACTGTGCTTAGGAAAAAAATTGTGGTAGTTATCTACCTTTACGTTTTAGTAGTCTAAGTAGTTAATACCTTTGCTAACTTTAAAAAGTGTAAAATCCGGTCTATCAAGGCGATATTATCGCCTTCGAGTAATTAAACGCTTAGGTTAAGTATAAGTATAATTAAATTCGAAGTAAATAGACGAAATGAGTCTTTTAGTAAAGTTAGGTATGCCTCGTGAAAACAGCAATACTCTAAGGGATTGTGAGGCTGAGACATTGCCTATATATAATCCTCTCAGTACTGTTTTCGCCGAAGGGATTTTATTTAGTGTTTCGTTGTCGCTCTAGTAGAACCTATGGTATGTTTTGTTGGGGCGAATCCGAGAGACTCATAAAATCCTATCTTTAGAAGAAGAAGAAAAGAAAAGAAAAAGAAAAATACTCTTGATGTCCATAGTTATTGCATTAACCAACAACTTGCCACTTTTCAAGAATTACCAACTTAGCCTTCATCAGACTGGCACATCTGGTTGGCTGAACGGAGGATAAACTAAGCAACGCTAAAAGTCCTTAGAAACCTATGTTCGGTTGAGCCATCTCGCTTTTGAAGTATTCAGATATAAATAGATTTGGAAGGTTAATATAGTTCTATTAATAGAACTAGACCAAATCTTATATTTGGTATTTTACTGGGGCCTTTTAATGGCCTTGTCCAAATATATGATATGTAAAATGAAAAAGGTATTTTATTAATAAAAACCGTTAAACCCCATTTTTAAGGGTTTACGTACTTTTAAGAGTACGTTTTACGTACTATTAAGAGTACGTTTATATTACAAGATTCTGATGTGGAGGCTCGGCTTTTACAGTACCAGCGTACGTGCTACAGTAGCTGCTGAATTTGTCCATCATCGGTCTGAGTATATCATATAATAAGTGCTGTGCACATGTAGCCATACTAACACATATGTTTGTCCTCTGTTTGAGTTTAATAGTGGTCCATTGGTGTTCATTCGAACTTTGTCGCCTGGAAATGCGGCTGTGATTGATTGTGCGGTTGAAATACCTTTTTTTGTACCTGTATTATTTTTGAGCCATGGTACGCATCTCTCGATATACTTTGTACATGTTGTTGGATTTGTGGCCAATCGTTGTGTCTGTCTGCTTGCAACTTGTTCATTGCTTCCTCCGGAGTGTAGTGTCCAAAGTTGTGGTATTGCTCGATGATAGTATGAATACTTCACTCCTATCTTTGCTACCAATGTGACGTCCCATGGAGATTTACCACATGCTTTCGTGCCTTTTTTGAGGAACGTGTTGTTTGTGGTTTCCATTAGCATCGGGTCTGTTTCTTCTAGTAAAGACAAGAATTTTAGAAACCACGTTGCATTGGGGTAGTATGGTTCGCATATCGTAATGCTGGTTGCTTCTTCTGTAAGTGATTTTGTCAAGCACATCAGGTATAGGTTGTTCGCATATGCATTGACTTCCTGCGCCCATTTTTGTAGGAGCACATTCTGTTTTTTTGGTATAGTCTTTATCTGTGTGGTTTTCATCCAGACATGGTTATTAGTGTTAGTGTTATTTTAGTTTGGTTATTTAATCTGTGTGTGCATTGTTGTGTGCTGATGCAAACAGATCTACTGTGAATTTTCCAACCCGTCTTTCAGTTTCTTTATATAATATGGGGTGTAGCATCCAGTCTATAGCTGATATGGTTGTTGTCATGTTTGTTTGCAAGGTGGTCGTATGTGTTGTTTTGTTCACGTCTTTTAATATCTCGGATGTATTGGTATTAAATGTGTTTTCATGTAAACGCGACAACATAGCTGCCATCGTACCTGGACACATGACATTAGATGCTGATGTTCTTGCATAGTACCAACAAAGCATCCTACGCAAGCGAAGGCAAGCCAGGGCGAAGAAGCAAACATCAACGAGCACTGATGACCGATCAGCGAAAAACAGGAAGTCCAGTTTCACTATCACGAAACGAAATTTGACCCCTTGTCTTGTGGCATTCTTTGCACATATGGAAGAGGACCAATGTCTCGATGGAAGAATCTACATTGAAAAGCGTTTTCCCGAGCGAGTTGATACAAACTCAAGCACAGTTCAAAACTGGCTTCGATGAAGATGGTAGATAATTATATAATTAGGCATTAACGTTGATGGATAGTAAGTAAGAATATATTATGATACCAGGGTTTTATTGACTCCCTAATGTACAATTTATCCCTGCAATAAAACAGCAATATTAATGAAACTAAGCAGTCGTACTACTATAAGATATCTGGGCAAAATCGACGAATCGAACGTGAACCCTGCCAAACCCAAAGCGGCAATCACCACAACAGAAAAAAACGCTTTCCTTTATTGTTTGGCTTTGATTACCAGTGATCACCAACCATTTTTTTCAAAACTTATTGGCGAAATCCACGAATCGAACGTGAGGCCTGCCGCACCCAAAGCGGCAATCATACCACTAGACCAATTTCGCTTGCAACTTTATATATAATTCCTTCTCGGCCTTAGACTTATAGATTACGCACCGGATATTTTTGGAAAATAATATACAGGCGAAATCCACGAATCGAACGTGAGGCCTGCCGCACCCAAAGCGGCAATCATACCACTAGACCAATTTCGCATGTTCAATTTGTTTTATGATACTTTCAAAAGTCATTAAAGGTTGTATTTTGTATATGTGTAGTAATCCGTTGTGTATGGCGAGGGGACTGTTCATAGAATATTTATCTATCATGACAGCACTCTTTTGGGATGATCTAGAATACAACGATGTAGTTGTTTGTTTCGGAACGAGGTTCTCCGAATATATGTGGCGGTCTGACTATTCGTCGGGTATTCATGACATCATCCCATCATATTCCACAGCGTAGGCTAACAAAGGTCATTGTCAATAAGTCCAATATGTGATGACGGCGTTGGGCTTAGTTTTCTTGCTGTAGCGGTATCAGCCATTGGGGGGGGGGAGGGGAATCCGATGTACGCGATACTTGAGAAACACCACTCTTCAACTTCACCAGCAAAAGTAAATGAGTGTCCGATGTAGATGCGTCTATTTCCGTTCGTTTAGCAGCTCTGTACTCGTCTTGTGAGGCTTCTTGTAAGCTTGCAGTATCGAAATCACCGTTGTTAAGGCGAAAAATAGCCGTTTCTGTGCAGTAGTGGTGGTCAGTGAGGTTGTGTTAATGCCCAGATGGAAATCTAGTCAATCTAATTAAAGTACTCTTAGACGTGAAAACAAGGGTGAATAGTTAGCAGTCTCGAGCTAGATTCTACTATTGCCGTATTACCAACTAGTTCTTACTTTATGCGGGAATCTATCCTTCCCATCTACAGTTCCGGTCTCTGAGATATGATATGAACTAAGTTGTTGTATATGATCCGTTGTCATAAAAAACCCTCTGTTAATGCATACACGAGTGAATTTAATACATCGTGCATAAAAGCACTTAGTCGTTGACCCGAATAGACGAAAAGAAAAGAATGTTATGTCCGACTCTTTCACTGACAAATTGGCACACTTTCTCACATCAATTTGACAGATAAAACCATTCAAGTAAATGCAGAACAGTAAAACATACTACATTAAGGGCGGCAATAAAACGTGGACTAATTTTAAACATATTTTTACGTCCTTTTTAAATCGAACTATTTCGTATAAATTCGGTGATTCTTTGTATTCTCATGTATTCACAGAGCCCAAAAATAGACAGTATTAACAACGTCTGAAATAAAACATGAGTTAGTGTTGTAACAGCTTATTACTTGTCTGTCACATTTCCCGTATATATGGTACAAGTTTTTATATTAGATGAATCCTTTAACCCTATTTGGAATTAACATCATAAAACACCTGAGTTTTGGGTCAATGGCTTAATGAGACTGTCGTCAGACCAGCGATTACCAGCAAAGTTATGGACAAGCTGTTGGACCCAATACCGTTGAGGATATTTCCTGATATTACATAATGCGTTACCTCAAAAACAACGACACAAAAAAATTGTGCACAACACGATGTATCCTTTTCAATGAAGTGAAGTATCGGTCGCCTTGCAAATCTTCGTCTGACAAAAACCAAACGTTACATAACAGGTACAAGAGTCGGAAGAGGAACACTTTACTAAGCGACGTGCTTCAGCGTCTATCGTCGATTCACTCTTATTGGCGGTATCGCCAGTTATACCGACAGGTGACTTCGCCCATGCTATATCGGGTGTGGTGATTAATTCACATTGCCGAAAGTCAACGAGATGATTATCGGCAACATGAAGGGCAAATGACGGTACTATACATTCCTGGACTTGTCTAAGGCTCATCATTATATACCTATTCACAGTTACTCAACAAACAAAAAAGTTCTCGTTTAGATGGGACAGTGAGCAGTATTCATTCACATCGGCATGTAATAAATCATGTGAATGACTGAACCAAATAACATATGGTTGGTTCAGTTGTCATTTCTCTAACTTACTATGGGCACCGTTCGGCCTGGCCAAAACGCTCACTTTCCTGTCCCAATGGACACAATTGATAATTGGATGGCCGGTCTCGATGTCCAATGTTATGTCGATGACCTAATACTGATTTGAACAGCTATGACGACTATCTGGAGACAGTACAGGAAATAATACATCAGTGCAGGAAATAATACATCGACTGACGGATAACAACTTGAAACTCAAACAGAAACAGAAGTATCACTTTACAGCGGTTCGAGAGGTCATTGTATTGGGTAAGAGGGTGTCAGTACAAGGCATTGATGTTGGCCATTACAAAGAAACAACGGCGACTGATCGATTGACCTACCCCTCGGTGTCAGAGAGAGAGACATTGCTTAAATACTAGGATCAGTGTAAACTTCAGTGGACCTAAAGTTTCACAATATTAGAGTAGTATAAGTCAAGTTAAGTCAGTTAATATTGAGCAGTGATGGCTTGTAAAAGAATTATCGAGGTTGACCCATGGTAGGAGCCTTAACATCCTCGACAGAACGTACCTCTTGCATTTTTATTTTGTTTTTACTAAAATACTAAGGATTTGTAGCTCATGGCATCGTTGTATATAGGTGAAGGTATGTGAACCAGAACAATACATTAGCAACTACAAATAAACGTCCATTTAAAGAAAATTTACATAAAAATATGAATAAGACTCGTTGGATTCTATGATTTCGCGGGTGGTCCAGGCCAACAAATAGTAGTTCAGACGTTACATAATTTAGTACATAATTTCTTAAATCTACTAGTTTCTCAAATAGGGCCAACAAGTAGAAATTCAGAAGTTACATAATTTAGTACGTAGACTCTTAAATCTACTAATTTCTCAAATAGGGCCAAGTATATGAGTTATACCAAATTTTTAGGCTATAAAAGCCATAACGTAAAATTAGTACGATTTGAATTTCTTTTTGAGAAAAAAACTGATATTTATTTATTTTTAAATACAAATAAAACCCAACTCTTATCTCGGTTTAATGTAGACTGACCAGAGACCGTATTTCTGTACATGAATATTATCGGTTAAGCCCCAAAGAGATAATTGGGCATCACTGAGAAAACAGATCATTAAGTGATGTAGGACCAGCTGACGGAAGTGATCGTGTCGGCCGTACTGAACCAAATAACATATGGTTGATTCAGTTGTCCTTTCTCTAATTTAATATGGGCACCGTTCGGCCTGACCAAAACGGTCACTTTCATGTCCCAGTGGACACAATTGATATTTGGATGGCCGATCTCGTTGTCCAATGTTATGTCGATGACCTATTGCTGATTTGAACAGCTACGACTACTATCTGGAGACAGTGCAGGAAATAATACGTCGACTGACGGATAACAACTTAAACTAAAACAGAAACAGAAGTATCACTATACAGCGTTTCGAGAGGTCATTGTGTTGGGTAGGAAGGTGTCAGCACAAGACATTAATGTTGACCATTAAAAAGAAACAACAGCGGCTGATCGATTGACCTACCCAACAACAGCGGCTGATCGATTGACCTACCCCTCGGTGTCAAAGAAAAATATTGCTAAAATACTAGGATCAGTGTAAACCTCGGTGGACATAAAGTTTCACAATATTAGAGTAATATATGTCAAGTTAAGTCTGTTGATATTTGGATACGCGAACATGCAACTTAAACATGCTTCAATTGTGGTATATGTGGACGAAGGACCCTAGGATGATATTTTAGAGCAAAACCTTAGAACGAGACATTCCGGAATTTAATATGTTCCGCCAATTTGAAGCAAATACTGATCGAGGAATGATGAATAGATCGGCGTCAACAGAATTCTGGATTTCTACTAAGTTCTAGTATAAATCCGAAACCGGACGCGAAAGAGGAGACCAAAACCATAGATAACGGTATTTTTACGAAACCTATTCTTTTAGAACTTCTCGTCCCGAATCGGAACGTTATTATTAAATACAGAAGATACGCCGTTTAGAACGGCAGTTCTAACTGTAGTCGCTTATCCATACTTGATACTATTAACCTCTCTCGGGTTTGACTACAATTGCTATAGTGTCATCCGATTTTTATATCTAATTTTGACTGGCACTATATTTCCTTTTCGTTCCATACTCAGTTCTGAAATGTCCTTCTATCATGTCAGGTATTTTGTTATTTCATCTCTTATAAAAGCTGACTCTTATTTATCATTCAAACAAATTGCCTCATCCCAAGTTCAACGGGTCTTTAATGTATAGTTAATTCCCTATTTCCTCAAATAAACGCATAAATTAACATAGACAATGTTAAGGCTGTAATAGAAAGTGAGTTAATATTATTAATAAAATCTTCCAGGAATAATTATGTCTCTAATAAATACATTAGCTTCCTATATTCTCAAGCCAACGCGGAAACCAATGTAAACAAAACTATGGGTTGCGACAAAAAGTGAGTTGGTATTTGACAATCTTATTCCTTCTGCTAAATAGACCTCCAATAGATACAGTAGCTACACATGTTCCCAAGTGAACGAATAACAACAAAATAGAGAGTTTTGAGGGCTGGAATAAAACGGATTACCATTTAATAAACATATTATTGCTTACCATATTAGACTGATGTTCATATCAGGCTGATATTCAAAAAAATAAATACAGTAGTTCATTCACTTGAATTGTAGTAAAACAATACAACTTAGGTACACTAAAGTCTTGAAGATAAGGATACTGAGTGAACAGTCCCGAGTTGGAACGGACTACTGTTGTATTTGTTTATTACTAGGTCTTCCAGGACACGGAAATATAACGTTCACGCCTATTTCGTCACCAAGGTGTCACATTGGCTCAATTTTATTGGCCCATCTGTCGAACATAGCCCAAAACGGGAAATCCTAGTATGGCGACAAATCAACGGATGATTAGAATTGGGTAAACGTTCACTTTGTCACCATAAATATTGGAGAATGCCTCAAATTCTGAAAAATAGATTGGACATCTTCCTCAGCACGCTTGATACTCAGA